GAGTCAAGCATGCATATCAGTAATTAAGGAATCCTTCAAAAACAAAATCTACGAGAGACAAATTCTGAAACATTCATACAAAGAAACAGGCAATCTTATTCTTGCAGAATCCTATAAAAGTTTAACAATATAGATAAGACATTCAAATCATGTAGAGAACATAATGGTAGAACACTAGAACCCTACAAACTTGTTCAATATCAAATGCATACATTAGTGCCTCAAAATGATACTAACATCCAAAGAAACAAACCGTGTCATATGATTTAAATTTTGAAATGGATAGATTAAGATGACATATGGACATCCCCAAGGACGTGAAGTTAATTTTAATTTAAGAAATATAAAGATTCCAAGTACAAAACAGAGAATCATCAAAATCACAAAAGAAATGCACAACTTATTTTGTCAAAGGAACATACTACCAAACGTTCCTATAGCCGAGATGGGAGAAAAAAAAATGAAGTTCACTAATTATGATGCCACCAGAAAAATTACCTTCAAAAAGTAGCTCTGAATCTCCAGCCGTCGAATGTGAGGCAGATTAGCGAAGAATCTGAGTAGTTTACTAGAATTTTCACCTGCCTTGCGTTGCTCATCCACATCATTGATACTCACATACAAACCAATGGAAATTAAAGCTAAACTAAAGGTGTTCTTAAAACTAACATCACGAAAAACACCTCCAACATCAAAGAATTGCAGATTTGGTGCATCAATGTTGAGATCCATGAAGCCATCAAAGTTCATCAAAGTTAACCTCTCAAGCAAAGGGCAACTAGAAATTAGATTTTCAAACACATCCTGGGTGATGGTAATGTGCTGCAGATCAAGGCTTTTCAAATTTCTGAAGCCTTTGATTGACTCTGGAGGTTTTAGCAAGCAATTAAATAGCTCCAAATGAATCAAATTCTGGCAATTAAATAGAGAAGAAGGTGGCCGGTAGCGCTGTCCTTTCCAAATTTCAAGTATGAATTCCTTGATAAAGCTTCTTGATATAACAAGAATCCATTTGTCAATGTCAGCAACGCCTAGAAGATCTCGGTGAGAGAGTTTGAACTTCTGCAAGGGACCATTGTGAAGTAGAAGGACATGGTCAATAATGCTAACAAGCTTGTTCTTGATCAGAACTGGATCTTGGGAAGAGACTGAAAAACACTGGGTATCAAACACAAGACTTGGAACCGTAGCCCATCTATACCTCCATTTCCTTGATAAAACACTTGTCCTCACTGCATCCTTAATAGGCAAATGAGACAAAATATTATCTATAATGTGCCCTGGTAGGCTGCTGATTTTATCTAGTTCTGCCTCCACTTTGCAAGGGAATTTTGGTAGCACTCGTTGCTTCTGAACCATTTGACAGGTCAAAATAAAGGAAAAAGACATGAGAAAGTTCAGATATAAGGGTTTATCAATTGAATAAAAATTGAGTCAAGAAATAGTCTTCCACAAAAAAGGAAGAAAGAAAAAAAAGGGAGGGTAAACCAGGTTATATGAGTGACATTTGTAGACACAAACAAATACAGGAAACAGAGAGATATAGACATAATAATTCAGCACTTCTATATCTTCATGTGATATTTTGTATTTTAATAAGCAAAATATCTAAATTTTATTCCACCATGAATCTAAGCCTTAGGATGGATGGAAATTAAATAAGCAAGAATTCATCAATGCTTTTGTAAATTGCACTTCTATAAAGTATTGTGATTCCAAACATATACATTACCTATTATGCTAGACCAGAATACCGCATAAGGAATGATACCAAATAAAAAGCCAACAGTTTTATCCTTTGATTATTAATATATTTGTCAAACAGCATTTTCCAAAAAAGAAAAAAAAGAAAAAAAAGAAAAAAGAATTATCAACACAGATTGAGTAAATAAAAGGGTGAGGATATTAAAGATACTACACAATAGAGCAACATTAAACCAAGAGTTCAATCATTAAATTAAGTCCCAGAACCATTTTCCCACCAATGGTTTCATTCAGAACTATAATTGAAGAGTCTCAGGGAGCCAGAACGAATATAAAGGTTCCCCACCTTATGCCGTTTCTTCATACATTAAAGCTGGAAACAAAGACAATGAGGCTCAAAGAAGACACTAAGCAGAATCTCTCAAATTGGATACAGCAACAATTTTATTTCCACCTAAACATATCAGTTGTCCATAAGAATAACAAATGAAGCTGAAAGAGGCAATACATTCAGAATAAAAAGAGCACATACAGGTACCATATTTCCCTCTGTTTAGCTTCTGGAGATTTGAGGAAATGCAGCACTATGATTTTCCAATAACATTACAACTCGAACCCCAAAAATCTGAAACGTAAAATACGAAATGATGATCAATTACATTAGTTTTTCCAAAAAGATGGCATCTTTCGATTAGAACTAGGAGGTCAACACAAGTCGTAGCCAAAAGTTACAAAATTTGATATTTACATCCCAAAAAGTATCAAAATTGAGGAGAAATTAAATAAATTTCTTTGGAACGGGAACATAATCGTAAGAGCTGTAAGGAAATTCTATAAGATAAAAGATATTGTTCATCTATTAAAAAAGACATCTGAACAAAAAATGAAGAAGATAGGTAAAAAAGGAACAAAAGATGAAGAAAAGACAGATACGAAAAGGGGAAAACTGCGTACAGAAAGGGTAATTAGAGTCTGGATCGAAGAAAAATGCAGCCATTACCTGAAGAATGGCAGAAGAACTCAACAATTTGGCAAATTCGAGAGTGCATTCGAAGCTCGGAAGAAGGAGAATCGCCGGTGGGCTCTGCAAGCGCAGTGCACCGTACGCAGTGTCGCCCGAGCTCAAGCACGTCCGGTGGCGGGTCCAGTTTAGGGTGTTTGATAAGTTTCTCCACTTCCTTCTCTCTTCCTTCTGAGGAAGTCTGCTGTATCACGGGCTACAGCAGACGTGGTATGATGTGGTATCCCAACCAATGGGAAAACACCACATCAACATTTTTTTTTCACACTTCATCAATCACAAACCCAAAAAAAATTGATGTGATGTTTTCCTATCGGGTTGGAATACCCAAACAAAATCCTTCCTTTTCTTCTCTCATCCTTTTTTTCTCTTTAAAAAGAGAGATAGAAATTCGTGGTTTTTAGTAGGTTAAATATTAAATTTAATCTCTTAATTTTTATTTTTGAATTAAAATTATTTTTAAATTTAAAAAAATATTTAAAATATCCTTAAATTTTAATTTTTGGAATCAAGTTAGCCCTTCTATAGTTAAGTGCTGAGTTGGCCAAATTTTTCATGAAAAAATCAATTTTTTTAATTTTAAATATTAGGTGGAAATGACATGGTGGTAGTTTTTTGCTTACATAGCATTAAATTACTTTAAAATTTTAAAGCAAGTGGGTCTCTCTCAATAAAATTAATAAAATAAAATATAAAATTACAAAACTACCCCTCTTCTTATCTTCTTCCCCAATTTGGCAATCCCCTTCTCTTTCTCTATTCTCATTACCTTCTCCCCTCTTTCAACGCTAGCATAGATGTTTTTACTCCTTCTCTATCAATGGTGTCGGCATTCTCTTCCTTGTTTCTCCTTCCTCCCTACTTTGCCTCCCTCCTTATTTCCCTTTTCTTCTTCCTTTTTTCTTTTCCATCTGGGATTTGAGAACCTAGATCTAAGGCAAAACCCAAACCGAGTTTGGCAGCCCAAATAAGGTTTCAACCTGATTTAGGTTGCATCCTAATCAAAACAAGGATTCAATTAGCACAATCTTCAACTACAATCAAAACTCATATGTGGGTTTTGTGCAAAACCCATAAAATTTTTAAATGCATTTGTTTTTATTGATTTCAAAACCTAAATATGTAGGGATTGGGGTTGCTTTCTTCAGTACTAATTTTTAATTTGTTCTTTGATAAATTTAAATGGGTTTTAAGTGTGATAACACTAGAAAAACAGGGAGGGTACACTAGAGGAGGAAGGGACGAGAAAAAGGGATGCAGGGGAAGAGGAAGGAGAAAGAGAGGAGAGAAGATTAACTAACGTGAGTCCCACTATTTATTGTAAGCAAGTATAAGATAATTATATATTAAAGAAATAATTAAGTTAAGGTTTTGGGGAGTTAGGAAACTTAACATGATTGATTGCAATATATTTAATTTAATTTATTAATTAATATATTAAAACTTATAAAGAAATGAATTCATTTAAAAATATAAATATGATGTGACATAAAAAATTGTCCGCCTCACAATAAACTGACTTTAGAATTATCACTTAATATTTTGAATTTAAAACTTTTGATTTTTTTATGAGATAACCGTCCATGTCAACATTTAACTGGTCGAAGGATTAAATTAGTTTTAAAAATTAAAGTTTAGGGATATTTTTGATATTTTTAAAAGTTTAAGAATAATTTTGGTTCAAAAATAAAAGTTGAGAGACCAAATCAGATATTTAACCTTTTTAGTATGGATTGTACAGTATTTTAAAATTACTCTACAAAACCAACAATATGTTGGTTTATTGTTGGGGTATTTAAACAAAAGAAATTTAGTTTTTTTAATAAAATTTTAAGTTTAAATTTTATCAATATTGAGAGAGTATTTTTTATAGGATTAAATGTGATTTAATTTTGAATTAGATGATAATTAATGTAATTTTTAAATACTAACAAAATTAATAAAAACTAACAACTTATTAGTTTGAACGAAAAGAATTCAAATTTTTTTTAAATAAAATTTTAAATTTAAATTTTGTAAATAGAAAAACAAGTAGTGAGGGGAGTTTTTCCTAGTGAGAGTTGACCCACCCTAATTTTAGATTAATTGTGATTATCGAATATAAAAAAATTAATAATAAAAAAATTAATTAAAAAATTACTATAAAAAAAAAAGGGAGACTTTCATGACTACTGTTTTTTTTTATAATTTTAATAAATCTTTTTGGCTACTTTGAAAAAATATAATTTTAAGATCTTTCACTGAAGTTAATTTTTACGTACGCACTATACTTCTTTTTTTGGCCCTATGTAACTCTGTATTGAGAAATATTTTTTATTTAAAAAAATGTTATTTTTAAAAAAAATTGTATTTGTAGTATATAATTTAAATTATAAATTTATTATAATAACCTTAATAAAATTTCTCTATATTAATATATTGAGGGTACTTTACTAATTTTAATACACAAAACTGCGTTTCTTACAACCTAATCAGATTGAAAACCAAGATTATCGTATCTTTTTGGCAATCAAAATAACAAATTAATTATTTATTAACAAAAAATATAATTTCGATTTTTTTTTTTTAATTCCAACAGCTTAGAGGGGCTTAATGGTAAGCTCCTTGAGCGGAAGGGGAAAGAAAAAATGCATCACAGGGTGAACGTCAATCAAGGTCAATATCCAAACCCGGCTATGCGATAAACGTCGGCATGATTATAATATGGAAAAATAATTTATGAATAATTTTTTTTTATTATTTGTTGTATAATTTTATGTATTTTTTAAATAATTAATTTTTTTATTTATTTAAAATGCATGATATTAAATATATTTACTTATTTAATGATAAATAAATATTATATAAAAAATTTATCTTTATATCAACATCTTTATATTATCATATAATATTCCATATTTGACAAATATAAAAATAAAATAAAGAGTGAATGAGACCCATATTAAAAGAGAAGAATTCTAATGTCTACGTGTAGTTTGAGGTAGAATTTTATATATTAGGGTATTTAGTAGAGGTTAAAAAGTATTTATTTTAGTAATATTATTCATGATTTGAAATTTTATTAAAAATTTTAAAAATTATCTTTTAAATGAAATCTTAAGTAAAATTTTATATATATATAAAAACTTAAATATATAATTTTTTCAAAAATTACTTAAAATTTTTAAATTAATTTTAAGTATTTTTAAATATGATTTTAAACTTATTAGAATGAATAATACTTTTGAAACTCCACCAAACGCCACATCTATGTTTGCCAAAGTGCTCTCCTCCACCCACAACATTAGACATCAAACTAAAAATCATATCAGGCAAAGTTCATTTTGGGTATAATCATCATTACTTAGTTAATAATTTACATGTAAAATTATCATTTACTTGTTACATAACTGTTTACACCACACATGATTAAAAAAATTGTTAAATATGATGTAAAGAATAGTTAATATAATCTCTTGTGATATGTAAAACCCTTGGCTAGTGTTCCTAGCTGCCTGGTGATTCAGCTTTGGTAGAGTTAATATGGTTTGATGTTATCTATTTCAATTTAAATTGGAACTTTGTATGAACTATCAATATCACCAAACCTAACTGGTATTTAAAAAAAAAAAAGTCATCATGTCAAATACTATAACAGTGTCATGTATCTATTTTTCTCCCCCCCTTTCCTTTTTTGTTCATTTTGTCGTTAATATCTTTTTTAAATTTCTAGCAGGAAATGTCTTAATTCCCTTAAAGGTACCTAAACAAATTCAGCTCATTAGATATGGAGGAATAATGGTGTGCTCAACAATTTAGAGTTGAAGCTCTAAGTTGAAGATTTCAAATTTAAACTTTAAGTTGAGTGAGAAAGAATTTGAAAATATTAAACGTACCAAAAAAAAAATGTGGGTGTGCTGGGGATGAAAAATGGAACTGTTGCCAATCATGCGCATGAATTCCGAAGGAATCAGGATGGTTTTCAATTCTTCACATCTCTCATTCTCTCTGTTAAGCCCACTCTTAACCGGATTAAGAAGCCCAACGTACATAAAACAAAGCCCATAATTTGGGTCCAAACAAGATATGGGCTAATTTTTTACCTTTTTTTTATTGGATACCCATACATGTTCCAGACCTGACCCAATTACAATTCGGTTGCGTGATCTTAATTATAGCATACAGGGAATTAAGACATTTCCTGCTAAAAATTTAAGGAAGAAAGATCCACACAGGGTGAGTTAATTAATTCTTAATATAATATTTTAATTACAATCAATTTAGACGGCTTAGGAGTTAAGTTCTACCGTTCATTTTTATGTTTGTTGTAGATCAGCTGTTGCAGCGGAAAGAGAAGGGGCAGATCTTCGATGGTTACAGCAAGGGGACGCTGACATGTAAGTATAATGTCGGAACCAGCAATTATGAAAGTAGTTGCAAGATGTATGTTTGTTAATTTTGTAGTTGTAGCTATATGATTTCAAGAGCAAGTTTTTTTAGTTTGGTGAAGTTTTGTATGGAATTTTTTTTTTTTTTTTGTATTTACGGTTAAGTATCATAATCAATTTTTATGTACTTTAAGATTACTTTTTTCCCAAATGATTTTAAGAGCACATTATCTACATCATTGTGGTGAATTCAATAAATTAAAAATTTTAAGTATTGGTTTTAAATTTTAAACTTTAAACTTAATTTATAAAACAACATTTGTTTATAAGTGAATCAAATCCTTAAAATTAATTTTTATATGGATTAATATTAGCCACGAGCTCCTTTGGGACTAATAAGATCTTGTTCAAGGTTGAAGGTCACTAGAAAATCAATGTGTCTTTGCATTGTTTGTGAAGCAATTGATAATGCAATTTAGATTATAAATTACTGAGAGTTTGTCTTTGTTTGTATATTTAAATTTTGGCTAAAGTAACATTACTAATTTCTAATAATATATTTGGTTTTAGGAAAATAAAAGAGGGGATGAGATAAGAGGAGACGAGAGGAGAATGGAAAGATATGACACCCTTCCATTTCTCTCCACCTCTCCCATTCCATGCTTTCATTCGGTGAAAACCCCTTCCCTTTTAAATTATTTTACTAATCAAATAGAGAAAAGTTTAACCATTCATTTAGTTTAAACCAAATGTATTATAAGTAGTATCATTTATAGCTGCGCTCGTGACCATGATTGCATTGGTAGGATGCATCCAAACTCATGACAAACTCCATGATTCAATCCTTTTGAATGTTGTTTCCCCTTATCCCCAATTTCCCCAAGTTTTTTCTCTTTTTCAAAAAAAAGAAAAAGAAAAAGAAAAAAGAATACCAACTTTTCGGTCAACTTGCAAAGAAAAGTGTAGGAATATCTATTAACAAATCGATACATTTATAGACCGCAATTAAGGTTAATTAGATAAATTTTGTTATGTTAAAATTTATATATTTTACATTTAAATCCCGTTATATATCATGTCACAGTATATCGTCTGTTTTTACTGTGGATCTCGTAGTTTCCTTTTTTCCTAAGAAAATAGTTATTCTTTTTACATATAAGTTGTAGTTATCCCTCAAAGATCAGCACTCTCTATTCTCCAATTTGTTGAAATAATAGTACCGTAAATAATACGGTGGTGTTGGCACGCGACGTGAGAAAAACCAGAGTTGAGTTCATATTTGAGAAGAATTTTAAGAGTAGTTTGGAAATTAATAGTTGATAGGAGGCAAAGCTTTTTGAAATTTTTATTTTTTTTAGTATTATTTATGAATCATAAATTTAAATTTTTATTTAAAAATTATAAAATTAAATAATAAACAAATAAAAATTTTTATAAAAAATAAAAATTTAAAATTTTTTAAAATTTATTATTTAAAAATTTTTTAAAATTAAAAAAAATAAAAAAATATTTAAAAAAATAAATTTATAAAATATAAATAATATCAAAACACTTAAATATTTATAAACTTTAACAAATATGCTTGTGTGCGCTAATTCTTGTGGAAGCTCCAGCTGGAAGACTTCGAAATATATGAAACCAAATATAAAAAGTAGTGTTGGAAACAGCCATTTTTGTTGACATGGTCGTAGTCGGCCACCATCCGCGCGCGCTTCTCTCTCTCGGATTGGATTTTTTTTTTCGCATTGGGACAGCGCGTCGGGCCGCCGGCATTGTACCAAATTCTTCTGTTTTCTAGATGTCTTGGCAGTCTAGGAAAACTAACACGCCTTTTTCCACTATTTTTTTTTTACAAAGATAATAATTAAAAAATTAATTATAATTAATTATTAATAACTGAAAATTCAATTTTTAAGTTGAATAAACATTTCATTCCTCAAATAAAACGCGCCATCATAACGCTGCTTTTTGGTGAAGTTTTCTTTTCCACTATTTTATTTAATTACAGGACAATGATTGCACCAAGTGGAAAAAAGAAAATATTAACCTGAAACTTCTTAAAGGACCAATCAGCTACATTTGTCTCTAAAGAATATCAACGCAGTGAGTTATTTGTAGTAAAATAAAGTATTTTATTATTTAAATTATATTAAATTATACAACTTAAATTCTTTAATAAAAACTTATCTCCTGATATTGGAAGCTGTTATTGCATTCAATTATTCTTGCTCTTGTAATGTATACTGCGTTAACTTTTCTTTTCTTTTTTAACATATTTACAATTAGGGGTGGAGGAGTAAAACCCCAGCCATTGAGCTGG